ATCTTGCAAGCAGCATATTGAAGGGTCTTGTTTTCTTATCCATTCTGCCACTCTCTGTCTCTTCACTGGTACATTTAATCCATTGACATTCAGTGTAATTATCAATAGGTAAGAATTGCTGTCATTACATTAATTTTTTGTGGTGCTGTTTGTTCCTTTGTTGAGTTCATGTTTTTTGTGCTATTTCTTGTCAGTTTCTTCTTAGTTTTCATGTTTCCTTCTTCTGACTGTATCTTCATTTTCATGGTAAGTTGTGAAGTATTAACTCTCTTTGGGGTTTCCCTATAGTCTATTAATTTTTCCCCCCATGGAGCGCTGATAGAGTAGTGGTTACAAAATAAGGCTGCTAACCTCAAGGTCGGCAGTTCGAAAACTACCAGCTGTTCCACGGGAGAAAGATGAGGCTTTCTGCTCCTGTAAAGATATGCAGCATCAGAAATCCTGCGTAGGGTCACTTCGAGTTGGAACTGACTCAATAGTACTTAACAACAACACTGTATCCTGTAATCTACCTGACCTCCTCACCACCTGGATCTCTGTTCCTGTGTTTTTCCCTTCTTTGATACTGTTAATATTTTGATCTTTGGTTGGCCTCACAAGTCCTCTGAATTCATTGCTGTAATTTTGTTCTGAATTCTACTATCTCTTGACTGAGTTCCAGGTAGGTTGTCACAACTATCAATCTTTGGTTGTTGTCTGTTCTTGCTGGTTTTCATTCCAAAGAACTCCCTTTAGGATGTGTTGAAGTGCTGGGTTGGCTTTGGCAAAATCTCTTAGCTTCTGTTTATCCTGGAATGTTTTGATTGCACCATCGCATTTAATTGACAGTTTTACTGGATAGACGATTCTTGGTTGGCAGTTTTTTTTCTTTTAGGGTTTTATATGTGTCCCCATTGCCATCTTGCCTGCATGGTTTCTGCTGAGAGGTCAAGAGCTTAATCTAATTTGCTTGTCTTTGTAGGTAACACTTCTCTTGTCCCTGGCTGTTTTTAGGATTCTCTCCTTGTCTTTGATTTTAGGGAGCTTGATTATGATAATGTCTTGGTGATTTCCTTTTGGGGGCTATTCTTCCTGGAGTTTGTTCAGCTTCTTGAACGTTTATCTGCTCATCCTCAAGATGTGAGGAAAATTTTCTTCCAGTAGTTCAACTATCTCCTCTGTGGACTTCTGTGATTCTTCCTGTTCCGAGATGCCAGTATATCTTAAGTTATTCCTCTTCATGTTATCAAACATTAATCTTAGGCTCTCTTCAGATTTTTTTTATTCTTTTTTCTGCTTGCCCATCTAGCTTAGCAGTATTGAGAGATTTGTCTTCCAGCTAACTGGTTCTGGCTTCCATCTCTTCAATTCTACTCTTTTGCCCTTTCAGTGTATTGTCCATTTCTGATATTTTATTATTAATTATCTGGACCTCTTTCTGAAGGTTTTGAATTATTTCCAATGCTGTATCTGTCTTGTTTGATTGCTCCTGTAGCACTTTCCTGACTTTTTCCTTTTTTTCCTCCACCCCTTTTTGAAGCATTTGAATTTGTTTCCATAAAATTCTTCTGAATTACTTCTCAGGCAGATCCAAGACCTGCTCTTCCTCTACTGGAGAGCCTTTGTCTGCCTCCGGCTCATTTGTCTGTTACTCTTTTCTCTTTATTGACATGTTTTGAGATCTTTTGTTGTGTTTTCCTGGACATTTTCAGTAGTTAGGTGGATTCTTAATGCTTAAATGGATGTATGTTGCTGCACTATTAAGCTTGCTGAGTGTCTTTTGGTGGATATGATCTGGAGATAGGCTTCCCTTTTCACATGTAATGTCTAGCTAGCAGCTGCTATTGGCTCCTGTCACCTTCTGAGGCACCTTTGGATGAAATCTAACCTCCTACCTTTTGGCTAGCAAAACATACATGAACCATTTGTACCACCTGGGGACTTCAAATTCTGTCTGTAATAAGGGATATCACTGCTGATATCTGATGGATCTTGACTGAAAGCAGAGAATACCAGAAAGATATTTACCTGTGCTTTATTGACTATGCAAAGGCTTTTGATTATGTGGCTCATGACAAGCTATTGACAACATTGCGAAGTATGAGTATTCTGGATCACTTAATTGTGCTCATGAGGAATTTGTATATGGACGAAGAAGCAGTTGTTTGAACAGAACACAGGAACACTGAATGGTTTAAAATTTAAAAAAGGTGTACAACAAGATTGTTTTCTTTCACCATACTTATTCAACCTGTATGCTAAGCAAATAATCTGAGAAGCTGGGTGACATGAAGAAAAATGTGGCATCAGGATTGGAGGAAGACTCATTAACAACCTGCAATATGTAGAGGATACAACCTTACTTGCTGAAAGTGAAGAGGACTTAAAACATTTACTGATGAAGATCAAAGAGCAGAGCCTTTGGTATGGATTACATCTCAATGTAAAGAAAACAAAAATCCTCACCACTGGACCAATAAACAGCATTCTTATCAATGGAGAAAAGATTGAAGTTGTCAAGGACTTCATTCTTCTTGGATCAACTATCAACACTCACAGAAGCAGCAGTCAAGAAATCAGACAACATATTGCATTAGGCAAATCTGCTGCACAAGACCTTTTTAAAGTGTTGAAGAGCAAAGATGTCAGCTTGAGGACTAAGGTGCGCCTGACCCAAGCCATGGTATTTTCAATAACCTCATATGCATGCGAAAGCTGGACAGTGAATACGGAAGACCGTAGAAGAATTGATGCCTTTGAGTTATGGTGTTGGAGGAGAATATTGAAAGTGCCATACCATAGGCTGCCAAAAGAACCAATAGATCGTTCTGGAAGTAGTGCAGCCAGAGTGCTCCTTGGAGGCCAAGATGGCCAAACTTTGTCTCTCATATGTCAGACACACTGTCAGGAGAGACCAGTCATTGGAGAAGGGTATCATGTTTGGTAAGGTGGAGGGTCAGAGAAAAAGAGGAAGACCCCCAACAAGATGGATTGGCCAAGTAGCAGCATCAATGGGCTCAAGCGTGGCAGCAATAGTGAGGTTGGCCCAGGATCAGGCAGTGTTTCGTTCTGTTGTGCATAAGGTCACTATGGGTTGGTACTGACTCGATGGCACCTAACAACAACAACAATAAACACAAGGTCGGTGGTTCAAATCCAGCAGTCTCTCCTAGTGTCAGAGCGCTCGCCCAGACTCTACGCTACTTGAATATGAAAAAGCCATCTTTTATTTAGAATATTAATATCTAAGCAGGATTAAGGAGCCCTGATGGCACAGTGGGTTAACTGCAAGGTTGGCAGTTCAAACCCACCAGCTGCTCTGTGGGAGAAAGATGAGGCAATGTTTCCATTAAGATTCACGGCTTTGAAAACCCCCTGGGGCAGTTCTAACACTGTCCTATAGGGTCGCACTGTCGGAACCGACTTGATGGCAGGGAGTTTGGTTTATGTAATATTTTATCTCAAGTTCTTAATAAGTTAGAGTCAAGTTCTTATTTAATAAGTTAGAGTTTAAGGGAAAAAGTTCTAATCAAGGTATGTCATGGACAGTTGGATCCTGATAGGGAAAATGTGGAAGAAAATATCAAATTCCTCAAGAAAAGAAAACTGCACAAACCACGGAGACCTCCTGGGCCAGCTGGGACTGGAAGACTCCGTGAGACTACTGTTCTGAGATCTTCTTCAGACTCTGAAGCGAAACAAACCTCTGTGGTCACCTCGTAGCTAAGCAACAGACTATCTCACAAAATACAGAACATCTCTTCTAAGTACTGTGTGCCTTTGAAAGATCACCTCAATGAGCCTAAGTGGTTAACAGTGACTTTAAAACAAAAGTGTGACTGTAAGGGGGGTAGGGAAAGTAGATGAATGGAAAACAGAACCATCAGGCAAGAAATCATAAGAAAGTTCCCACATGGGGAAGACTGAAACCAATGTCAATGAACAACTGGTGCAAACACTATGGAATAGGAAACGAAACTGGCGTCTTAATACTTCACCAGAAAACAAGCACACACAAATGTTTCTTAAAGGGGAGGGATACTGATCAATACTGTACTAATCTGAATATGTGAGTAACAGAGTCAGATTGATGCTTCACTACCAGCCAGCAACTTTCTCAGATATTGAGTCTAATAAAGCCCGACCATCCTTTGCAGCTGGATCTACTCTTTCTCCTACTTGGTAGATTTACGGACAGAAGCCTGCAAACTGCTGTCTTATCCACGCTTCCTCCCAAGAGCCAATCTCGGTCCCTGGACCTCTCATGCCCTGGCACCCTCACTAGTGTCCCTCGGGCAGGCAGGAGGTCTGGCTTAGCCCGCTTCCATGCAGGGGAGACTGGTGGCAGCTGCTCCCTCCTGGGACTAGGGAAGGACGGGAAAGTGTCTGTGAGCGCTGAGATGCATGCCAGATTCTAGAAGCCTAAACACCGTTTTCACCTGAAACGGCTAACCTTCAAACAGAAGCAGCCCTGGTGTGGCACTGTAGGAGAAAGCACCACACTGCTACCTGCAAGGTCGGCAGTTCAAACCCCTCAGCTGCTCCTTGGAAACAAAATCGAAGCACTCAAAAACAATGGAGTAAGAGATAGTCGTATTCAGCAGGGAATCCAGGAGTGGAGGCTAGATGTGAGATATTTTATTCCCGCCACCCCACCCATTAGTTCCTACTTCCCACTTAAGAACTTCTTAAGAAAATGCCTAATCACAGCTGATCAAAACCATGGTTTTTAAACCCTTACTGTTTAAAGAACAAACATCTAGAGCTTAAATGTGCTGGGTTTTTTGTTTTTCTAACTGTAGAGGTGGAAAGACTTCAGGATATGATGACAAGCTGCATCTAATGGAATAGGAATCAAAGGGAGAGGAGAGTTAGAGAGGAGACAGGAAGGAAAGAGACAGAGCGTGCACAATGTCAGAGGTGGAAGCAAGTTTTATTCAGCTTTCATTATTCGGATTCATTTTCTTTCAGAATTAATCTTGGGGGGGTGGGTGGAGAAAACCCCACAAAACCAGACTCACCTGTTTTGATACTTGTGTCCACACTGTGAGCATTTGAAATCCCAAGAAAAAGAATACGTGAAGAGCTTTTCGATGCGAGGCTCGAGCTTTAAGAGCAAGGGAAATGCAAACACAGGGCTTTCCATGTCACCTTCAGAAAGAGAAGCAGACCATTGGTACAAATCACTAACACTGGAAACAAAGCCAACCACAGAGAAACTGGGCCGTCCCTGTGTTCCTGGAGGAAGTCATTCGTAGCTCTGGGAGGGGAAGGTGGAGACTAGTGGAAACCTTCTTCCAAAAATACCCAGGAATCAAGATTTTAATGATCACCTTAGTCTCCATCTTTCATTTTCTTCTTTTTGGTGCCACTGAGTCAGTTCTGACTCACAGTGACCCTGAATAGGGTTTCCAAGGGCCGACACGTGGATTTGAAGCGTCAGCCTTGATGTTAGCAAATTCAGTACTTAGGAGACATTAATAAAAACTTCGACGACCAAAAACTCACACTTTCTTCTCAGAGCTTTCTAACTTTACCCTGGGGAACTATAACAGCCCTGTTGTAGTAAAGTGCCTTTGAGTCGCTTCCAACTCAAAGTGACCCCATATAGGTGGCTTTGAACAGTCGACCTTGGGGTTAGCAATCTGGTGCTTATCCTACAGTGAGCCACACCAGGACCCCTAGAGTGACTAAAACAACAATCCTATGAATGGTTTGGTATAGATATTAAAATAACTAAGGAAACAACGTAGAATGAGTTCAAAGTTGAATGACACCGCTGAAAGACCATTTCTAGTAGAATCTGCTTGTTCTACGTGTGGAGAGGGCAGGACAATTAAGGATTTAACAAAACCTGTTGTTGACGAGCCCAATGCCACCTCACAGCGACCCTACCTGCCTCATAGGGTTTCCAGTACTGTGATAACTTTACCAGAGCACGTGCCACATCGTTCTCCTGTGGAGAGGTTGGCAGACTTGAACCAACCACCTTCTGGTTAGCAGCCAAGTGCTTAACCATTGCACCACTAGGGACCTTTGAGGTTCAATGGCTAAACTCAAATCCTGACTCCTGATCTTCCATTCTTTCGGTTTAAACCTATCCTGTACTAACAAAACTTGAGCAAATTTTAGGGTAGGGAAGATGAAAATGTTATTATTACAACCAAACCCAAACCCCAGCCAGCAAGCTTTCCAGTGGGATTCCCACCGTCCTCCTTACACCCAATTCCCAGTTGTCTGCTCTCCTTCCAGTCCTCCTCAGGAATCTTAAGACGCTGCTTTCCTGAGGTGACTCTAGAGAGAATCTGGGTCCCCTCACTCACTCCCTCCACTGGGAAAGAACCCTCCTCAGCTGCCCACCACAAAGAAGCTCCACCAACAGGAATGGCCTGTTACCGCCTGAGCTTAGTCTACAGTCAGGCTGACACAGTCCTGATCTACTTCTGCCCAAAGACATACCACCGCAGACACCACAGCTTCATTCCTGACCAGGCACTGGCAGGAGAGTAGAATTACTCGGGCTGGTTGAGACCAGAGTTCTGCCACCCTACTGAAGTGCAAGCACCACAAATTAATGGTCCTGAGTTTCACCAGCAAGACTCTGAAACAGGCCCTAAGTTCTGGCATTGGTTCTTCTGTGGACAGTGACGGTTGAAGTGATGCATTCATCTCCCAGGGGGAGGAGAGGATTTGGAGGGTCAGCCAGTGCTGGGGCTCCCAGGCATTCACTTGATCCTGATTCACTCAAGGGTTATAAGACCAATCTGCATGTTGATAAGGAAAGCTCCTTCCACCAACAATTTAACCAGTGTGAAGACTCTTAAGCCCAAAAACCCACATTTTCTCTCCCAAGAATCTGATCATTCAAAGTAACAACACAGTGATATGCTTCCTTACAGCAGCTTTGTTACGGTAGATGAGCACAACAGTTAAAACGGCACAACGTACTTACCTAATGTGCATCGAAGCTGGGGTTGAAGCCGAGTGAAAATTTCGTCCCGGGCCTCATTCAGACAGCCATCTATCTTTGCAAACAGTTCTGAAGTACATTTTTTATGGTCCCCATCTAAAAGTAATACACAGGGAATTATCAGTCTCTCACCAAAAATTATGACATCAAGAATCAAAAGTTCACCAGATCCAACCATGCTCTGCCCTGCCAAAACTGTACAAGAATACTTTTAGAAGCTTTATTATATATTATAAATATATAATAATAAAAAGCTGCAAACAATCTAATTACCCAGTAACAGGACAATTGGCAAATCAATTGTGATGTATCTATACACGTTAAGGAACCCTGCTGGTAAACAGCTAAACAAAGGTTGGTGGTTTGAATCCACCAGCGTCTCTGTGGGCTAATGCGCCAGTCTGCAAAGTCAGTTTGAATGGCAAGGTTGGCAGTTCAAGTTCACCAGCTGCTCCTCAAAAACCCTATACCGGGTCGCTATGAGTTGGAACCAATTTGCTGGCACTTAACAATAACAACTCAGAAATACAGATGAGCAGATTACTGATACATGCAACAATACTGATGAGTGTAAGATCCATTCTGCTTAGTGAAATAATCCAGACACAAAAGTCTACAGATTATATCTTTGTGATTCCATACATACGAAGGGGCTTCTAAAGTTAGGATGGAGGGGAGCTGCTGTGGGGACTGGAAAGGGTGCCAGGAACCTCCTAAGGTGACAGAAATGTTCCAGATCTTGTTTTGGGTGGGGATTACATGGACATATGGAACTCTCAACACCCATTGAAGAGATTACTCCTTTATCTATGTTACATTCGACATCATTCAAAGACTTTCCAAATCATAAATAAAGGTCTGGGCTAAAATCTACAAAACAACGGTCACCAGTCAATGAACTTTTGTAGTAAGAGATAAAATGCAAACACAGAACATCCTGAATTCCTCCTCCTTCCTCTCTGGCATGCCATATGCCCCCTCAGTATTTGCTATCTACATAAGGTCAATAGTACTCCGAGTCCTGGTGTGTTGCTATAGGATAAGCACCCACCAGATGCTCCATGGAAACCCTATACAGGATGGCTCTGAGATGGACCCAACTGGACAACACTAACAACACAGTAGTATTCACTGACTGGAGCAATGCCATTCTGCCTGGGTGAAATCTCTAAGTCAAGTAAGCCATTCTCATCCAAACCATCATAGGCTCAACAATACAGCTAACCATTCTGGTAATTTTCCTAGCTCAGAAACATCTGAAGTTACCTCTTAATATGCGATTATTACGTATGCTACACCAAACCAAAGGAGGGCTAGTAACGTAATGGGTTACAGGGCAACTGCTAACCACAAGGTCAGCAGTTTGAATCTACCAGCTAGCTGCTCTGCAGGAGAAAGATGAGGTTTTCTGTTCCCGTGAAGCTTTACAGCCTGAGAGGCCCTATACAGGGTCACTACGAGTCAGAACCTACTCAGTGGTACCAAACCAAAAACCAAACCTACACTGCCATCAAATCACCCCAACTTACAGCAATCCTATAGCTTTCTAAGTCTGTAAATCTTTACAGGAACAGACAGCCTCATCTGTCTCTCCAGGAGCAGCTGGTGGGTTTGAACTGTTGACCTTGCAGTTAGCTGTCCAGTGCCACACCAAGACTCTTACTACTTATGTTTCTTGTTGTTACGGGATGTGGAGTTAGTCTCGACTCATAGAGACCCTGCACAGGGTTTCTGAGGCTTTACATTTGTGTCAGGAGCAGAAAACCTCATCTTTCTCCCAAACAGCAACTGGTGGGCTCGAACTGCCAACCTTGTGGTTCGCAGTCCAATGCTTATCCTATGGAGCCACCGTGCTTTAATTCATTTATTTCGGCTTGCATGCTTTTTATCGAACTTAAAAGTTAGAAGAACGGATAAATTTGTAAGACGTCTTAAAGTTATGATTTCTTCTTGAACATTTTGTATCTTTTCCTCGAGAACGTGTGTGTGTGTGTGTGTTGTGGGTGGTCTTCCACATCTGCTTTTTTCACACAAACTGGCTTCATTTTAAACTCTGCAGGCTAGCTGTTCCACAGCGACTGACCCACGCTGCTGCATGTTTAGGTTGTTTCATTATTGCCACTACGTTACAGCAAGCATCTCTGGGCACATCTCTGTCCTTGGTTTTGATAACTTCTTTACAGTAAAACTCTCAAAGCAGGAAGACTATGACAGAAAATGACCCCAGAGTCAAGAAATCATTCTGAGTTACCAAAACCCCACTGCTATCGGGTCCACTCCACCTCATGCTGACCCCGTGAGACAGAGCAGAACTGCCCCGTGGGGCTCCACGACTGCTACCTCTGTCTCCCGAGGAGCAGCTGGTGGGTGGTACACATGCTGCCCTTTCGGCTGGAAGCCAGGTACTTAAATTAACAACCATGGCGCCACTGGAGACACTCATTCTGAGGAACAGCCTCCACACGCATCTGCAGTTATTCTAAAGCTACAAATAAATTATTTTACTCAAATGAAGCCTGCTTACACTCTGCTTTCATGTTCCACTAACTGGAGGTCAGGTGTGGTGCTACAGGGTAGACCCTGGACTGCTAACTTCAAGGCTGGCGGTTCAAACCCACCAGCTGCTACTTGGAAGCTATGAGTCACGACTGATTTAATGGCACTTAGCAATCACCACAAAAAAATCCTTAAAGGCGGCTGCAGTGCTCTGAGACGTCACCTGTTAAACTAGGAGGATGGAGTTCTCTGCTGATCTGACCTGTCCCAAAGCCATTCACCAAGGGCCTCAGTAGTTATAGTTTAACATTCCTTCAAGAATAAAATCAGTAATGGGTGTTAAGAGGTCTGCAAATGTTTGGTGTAAATATTGTTGTTAAGTGCCATCGAGTCAGTTCTGACCCATAGTGACCCTGAACGGGGTTTCCAAGGCTGTAAATCTTTACAGGAGCAGAAAGCCTCATCTTTCTTCCGCGGAGCAGCTGGTAGTTTCGAACTGCTGACCTTAAGGTTTACAGCCCGATTCGTAACCACTACACTACCAGTGCTCCTATGTGTAAATATTAAGCAACCTATATGGTTAATCATGGGAAAATAACATACAAGATCCATATAATAGATTGCTGTTGTTGTTAAGCACTGTAGAGTTGGTTCCGACTCATAGTGACCCTGCACAGGGTTTCTGAGGCTGCAGTTCTTTACGGGAGCAGAAGACCTCATCTTTCTCCCGCGGAATGGCTGGTAGTTTTGAACCGCCGACCTTGACGTTAGCAGCCCGATTCGTAACCACTACATTACCAGAGCTCCTTTTACACACCATGAAAGAGGCATTTGAAAAAATGCATCAATAAGAAAATACTTAGAATGTAAAGTGAAGAAAGCATACTATGCCAATTCTTTAAAAATATATGCACAAGCAAAATCAGACAGTGTACCCATACTTCTAAAGTTGAACAAAGATGGGCATTCTTGTCCTATTGGATTGCAAGACTTAACAAATTCTAACAACAAAAATATGGACTCCTGGTGTGGCACTGGAAGATCAGAACTAGACTGTAAACGACAAGGTCAGCAGTTCAAACCCACCAGCTGCTCCTGGGAAACCCTACACATGGTCACTATGAGTTGAAACCAAACTCCTTGCTGGTCAAGTCGGTCCCAACTCACAGAGACCCTACAGGACAGGGGAGAGTCTGCTCCATGGCCTTCCAAGGCTGCAAACCTTGACAGAAGCAGACTGCCTCAACGTTCTCCCTTGGGAGCCCTTAGCGGGCTCAAAATGCCAACCTTTCAGTCCGCAACCAAATGCTTACGCACAGCGCCACCAGGGCTCCTGAGTTAAAGAACAGCAGCAAACACATAGATGCAATGTTGGGATATGGATAAGGTGGTGTGGCAGGCAAACGGAGACAACTATCCATGCTACTAGAAATAAACCAGCTCTTTACCTCACACCAT